AGTTGATTATTTGCTACTAAATGAATTATAGAGTCAAAGTGATTTAAGAGGGCTGTCATAGCAAAAAAGAAAAAAAACTAAAAAAAAAAAGAAAAAAAAAAAAGCTATAACTCAGTCAGGTTTACAGACACTGACCAAGAATTTGGTGTGGTTGTAGCTGATCCTGCTCATCTCATACTGTGATCGCAACAACAGACAGTGAGAGAGCTGTTTTTAAATCTTTGCCGGCTGCTATTTGAGTCAAATATGTCTGCATGAATCATTGGTCACATTTTAAATAAACTCTCAGAAAATCACTGGATATATGTCTACAACTGATTAACTTTTGGAATTAACTCAAATGAAGAAGACCAATCCAGATAATCAACATTTGTTAACTAACTATAGCTTAATTACATCTTGTTATAGGAGGAAAAACAAGTCATACAAATGTCATTGCTTTAGAAATACTCTGATATCTCAAAATCCTGTGAAAAATAATAAAGACACATAGGCTTCACTAAGTGACAACTGAAAACGAACATAAATGACGACCATAAGTGGCAGAGAACTGCAGACCACTAAGTGTTTCCAGGTAGCCAGTTTTTTTCTCAGACTGTCATTCAGAAATGTTCCATTAACATGAGCAGTAAGATCTGTTAAAACACACAGAAATATCTACAGCAGAATACATCAAGCAGACAGATTTAAAGATTTTGACATGACCCTTTCATTCACTCTGATACTAGTGAAAACGTGTTGGACCTCAGTGGAGACATGTGCACAAGGCTGACAATTCTTTACAACTAGAAGTGTTTTGCCAGGTGAGTAAGAGGAAATATTTAAAAGAGGAGCTGAAAGATTTGCAGTCGGCTAGAAAAAGTGGTAATAGCTGCCGGTTAGACTTTTGGCAAAAGTTATGCAAAGTGTTGCTTAACAGGGTGGTAATTGCCTGCAGCCATAAAAGGCAGCCGTTAATGCAATCGCATGTGTTTGTTTGTCTGTTAGTAAAATAGTTCACAAAGCACTGGAATGGACAGCTGAGACGTGGCGATAAGAGTCGTTTCCAGCACGCAGATTATGCGGGAGTTTTGTTCTAAACTGTGGCGTGCAATGAGACAAACATAATGATAAATTCCCTCAAAGAACGCTTCCTTCGATCTTTAAAAGGTACGTGTGATTCAAAAAGTTTTGGAATACAATTTTAGCAAATTTTTCATATGTCACTGAAGTGTTCTCACTCACATCAAATTTGATGAGACTTGCTTAAACATTGGCATGCCACTGTAATGCCCCAGAGTCCCGACATGATGAAGCAGGTTCTTTTAAAAATGAGGAAATTCTCTTCAAGTCTGGTTTCGGGTTTCGTTTTTTTATTACTTAACTTATTTCTGCTCAGGGACATAGATTTTTTTTTATATTACTCTATGCATTGTCCCTGTTAAATAAATACTAAATGTGATAATAGTGTGTGATGTCAGTTTTTTTGGTCATGCATCAGTGTGTGTGAATTTTCTCATAAGGACGCTGAAGTAAAATTAAGTTTTTGTAATATTGCATCCTATCGTATTGTACCAGTGTATCACATATTGT